TACTCGGTCATGCCATTTAAGCCTTACCGGGTAGCATGCATGTGGACCCGGGGTCCACTACTGTTTTATGTGTTAATTGTGCTTATTTTATCATATTATGTTGTATGGTCATGCATGTTGCCGGAAATAGTCGCCGGAGGTCCGGCAAGGGCCGGCCTTGGTCACTGGCCGTGCACATAGTGCGGCAGTGCCCGGCCCCAGTGCCAGTGCGTACCCGCGCCAGCGTGCGCGTGGTACCCGAGTCCGCGACAGCGTGCCAGCAGCGCCTGTCCGCGTTGTACCCGGGGTCACGGCGCCGTCGCGCCCAGCACCCCGACAGCGCCCGGCCGTGCTGTCCCAGCCTCAGTGCACGCATGGCCTCGCTGATGAAGTATCGTGTGTTTTCCCAACTCGATTGTCTCGAACCAAGCTTTGCCACGGCTTGTCCTTCGACGATAGGTGTGGACAACTCGGTTATTAGCCTTATCTTCTCACAATTTTGAGATGGTTCGGGTCTTAGCCTAGCCAACTCGATTTGTATGATAAAACTCTCACGAATTCTAAACACACGGTTTTGTTCTCACGAACGATTTTCCATTACTTTTCCAATCATTGATCCCTTTTTTCGAATGACATATGGGTGGTATTTATAGATACCAATTAGATCTAATCCTAGTCTAAGAAGAACTCCTGATGCATGTAAACAAATAAAGTCCTAAGGAAAGTAAATATAGACTTACCTAAACTACTTAGGCACATGCCTTTTATTCCAAATCCTAACCAGACTATTATTCCTAAGCTACTAAGGGAAATTGGCTCTTAGGCCTTCTAGAAGGATCGCGCGTCCCTTTGTGTCGCGCGCCTCGACCAACGTGATTTCTGATCCGAGTCCAGTTCCGGAAATTTCAGTATTTTTCTGAGCCAGTCCAGTCCAGTTTAATCGCGTAGATAAGTCCGAGCATTTTAGCATATAATTAAATATTCTGAGCATTATACTTAGCATTATTTTGCTTAAATATTTATGTAGCCTAAGGAGAGTCGAGCCTCCGACCGCTAGTCCAGCATCCGCACTTGCGTTCAGATTTTCAAGTATTCAGGTGGGGGTCATGTACTGGATGTCACATCATAGATAATATCTGTACCATGGCAGAGGTATGTTTGAGACAGTTTAGTTCCGGGTTGGGTGGCCGAGGCCTTTATACCCACCTGATGACCGTTGGGAGGGGCGAGGCCCTTTATACCCCATCGGCGTGTGCACACGAGCGTCTAAGGCCGAGGGTCTTTTGACCACAGATCAGAACAGACATCAGAGATCAGTTTACAGTTTCAGCTCTTATATATTTATGTTTCATGATACGTTATTATAGATGATGTTTTGTTCAGTACTGGTCTTTGCGGAGCATAGTGGTTTGCTCACGCCCCCATTGTGTTTTTCAGGAGACGGAGTCGAGCGTGTCGGATGAGCACAGATGTGGCGCAACGTGGTCATGAGAGTCGGACATATTTTACCAGCATTTTTATGTCCTAGATTTATGATCATGTGTACTTTATTCAGTTTATGTACGCATGTTATGTATTCGTATTTCGGATGCTTCCGCCAGCGAGTTTTCTAGACAGTGTGAGACAGTACAGACTACGCATGTATAATTCCATAATTCGCGAGCGGATAGTTTGGTTGCATGTTTTTATTATGTCTGTGGGCAAGCCCAAGTTCAGTTTAAGTTTTTATCTGCCACATCCCGCAATAAGTCAGTATTTTCGGAAACCCAGCTCGCACGTTCTTTCGAAAATAAAAATTAAAATTTTACTTTGATTTTTCAAAGTTAGTAGTAAGGCGGGGTGTGACAGTCTTATTCTTGTTTTTGGCCAAAAAGGTCAAATTGTTGAAAATGTATGCCACTGCTGTAGTGAAAAACGTAGGAGGAAGGTTTTTTTGTTTGCTGATAATTGCAGTGAGGTTATGTGCATAAATGTTGGACATATATATATGGTCTTAGTATGGTCAAAATCATATTAGCACATTTAATATATAATATTTATAAATCATAATATGTGCAAAAATCAACGGATAATGACAATCCTCTATTTCCTCTATTTTTTGTAACCTTACAAACATTATCTGATTGACTTCTATTTATTTTTCCCGCATCCCCCTCTTTTTCATTCCTTTTGGAATTTGTAACTGATATTTAACATTTAATATGTAAATATCATGTGCTAAAATCGGGGAATAATAACATTCCTCTATTTTCTTATCTATCAAACATTATCTGATTTTGAATTTTACATAGTTTACCCGCCGCTTCTTTTTCATTGCTTTTGGTACTTTGTAACTGATAATTAACAATAAAATATGAATAAATCATGTGCTAAAATCATGGAATAATAACAGTCTTCTATTATTTTAATATATCAAACATTCTGATTTTGATTTAATTTTGTTTTTCCCGCCTTACTGAAATTTAACAGTTTAAGATTTATTTAATTCCTCAAAATGTTGTTTTCTTGGAAAACAAAAGCCAATTCGAATTAACTGTTATCACTGATTGAATAACAAAATATGATAAAATCATGGGATATTGAAATTCTTAGCTATTTTTTTGGTATAGATTATGTTAATTTTAAATTCTTATTAAATTTTGGGATAATGAAATTGTTTACTGATTTTTATTTTTTTATTTTCTTGCAGGTCTAATGAAAAACTTAAGGGTGGTCAATTAATTTATTATTTGTAATTATTTGTATATGTGTTGTATTTATTCAATTTTCCTGGCATGACTGAATTTTATGGAGAAAAATAAAAAAATAAAAAATAAAATAACTAATTATTATTTTATTGTCTGAATATTTTATATAAACAAGTTTCTCCCTAATAAAAGTTTAATTGTTAAATTGAAAAATGTTTCATATTTGGATGAGATTATAACAGCCTGATCACATTTAATAATCTGCAGAATCCATGCAGTAAAGTCTGTGTTTATAAAAAAAAATCTATATATATATGCCCTGTAATGTTTTTGGGCGGGAATATGAAATAGGTTTTATTAAATGTTTTATTAAATGGATTAGCTAGTAATTATAGGGGACGGATCCAATAAGACCACTCATTAAAATGAGTACGTGAGACTCAATCTTAACCACTCATTTTGTCTAGATCAAAATCAATTAAAATATATATTAATTAAATAATAAAATAATTATTAGTTGACTCCGGCGTTGATCGTTGACTTCCGGTGTTGACTTCCGGCGAAAATCGTTGCCTTCCGGTGAAAACCGTTGACTTCCGGCGTATACCGTTGACAACTAACCTAGCAGCAAGAAATAAATATCCTAGCAATAAAAGACAACTAACCTAGCAGCAAGAAAGAAATAACCTAGCAATAAAATACACTTGCCAGGCATTACATATTGGCTTTCAGATTGCTGTCGACCTCTCTAGTCATATTTAGATTGAGCTGGACGCTGCGACTGTCGTCACCCTCCTGTCCTCGGGTCATCAGGGCTCGTGGCAGATTTAGTACCCGCTTATGCGTATTAGAGATCTACTTCGGTCTGTCCATTACAGGATCACACACATTTTCCGTGAGGGGAACAGACCTGTTGATTACCTTGCCAGCCTTGGCGCTACCATACCAGACACGCACACATATCAGACCTACACTGCTCCACTCCGCCTTAGCACGCTAGTTCGGATGGATCAGCTGGGATATCCATCGTTTCGATTCCAGTAGATTAGGTTATTGGTTTTTGCTTTTCTTAGACCATTCACTTATTCCGGGCACCTGTTAGCCCGATGACAGACCTTGTACTATTTTCATTTGCTGTTTTCGTTAAGGTACTGTACTGTTTGGATTGTGAGACTATGTTGAGTGTTTTGTCCCATTTTATGGCTATGATCTATATACAGGTTGGGGATCCAGTTTAATCCCCCGCCCCTCGGGGCGTTGTTTTTTT